CTGCAGGCACCTGACAGCTTTGTCCCACTGTTACTCTGGGGAATCATTATGCTCCAAATTCCTCGCCCTTGGAGAAAGCCTGCGTGGCTCGCTGGGAGGGAGGAGCCGCTGCGCAGTTCGTGATGCTGTGAGTGGCACAACAGGATCGGGAAGAAGGGCTGAGGTTCCCAGCATGATGGGGTAGAGCAGGGGGCACATCCTGGAGTTTCCTAACCTCATCCCATTGGTGAGGATGGGTTCATCAACCCGTGCAGGACCCGAGCATCTTTCTGGGAAAGAGCTGAAGGCGCTGCAGTAGCATCGCCTGGGGCCGGAGAGCTGCCGTTGCCTGGCAGCTGCGAGTTTCCAGGGAAACCAGAGGTGCTAACTTGTTAATGAGCCCTGCGTCCCTGATTGCTGCTGCAAAATAATAATAATAATTAGTAATGGTCCTGTGGTTTAGGAATCCCTCAAACGGCATGAGCCAGCCGAGGGGAGTTTGCTAAGTGCTGAAGCACTTGAAAGAAGCGAGGGGATGAGGGAGGAAAAAGGGTGTGGGGCTTGGAAAAGCTGCTGTGGTTTGCATCTTAGGAAGTGTCTGGAGAGCTAGGGTTCGGTGGGGTCCTGCCAGCATCCCAGCAGTGAGCCTGGGGCTGGTTGCAGGACTGATGTGGATGGATGGTGGAGCCCATGCCAGGCAGCATCTCAGTGCAGGGCTTACAAGGCACAGATATTTCCCCCAGCCCCCAGGGCTGCAAGGGGAAAAGCCAAATCACTTCAGTCAGTGCCACCGAGTCCCTGATGGAGATGGCAGTTCTTCAGGAGTGACTGCTTTCAGATAACTGGGGACAAATAAACAGATTTTTGCCTGTGGTGCCCTTACCCCTTGGTAAACTCAAGGTGGAGATGCCACCAGAAGAGTGTGTTTGTGGGATGAGCATCACATGGAGTGTGCTGTAGCTCCAGTCTCACAGGCATGGTGTAAATGTGTTCCTGCAGCAGGGCTGGCTTGCCTATGGCAGTGGGGGAAGCATCTCCTCGATGAGGCTGGCTGTGGAGAGTAGAGCTCTCCAGGACACAGCACTAGCTCAATGCAAGGAGTGGACATGCTGGTTAGTGAGGTTTGGGGCTGCTGTAGAGACCTGCTGCCCTTCCAGCTGATGTCTCAGGTAAAAGAGAAACCAGATCCGTGCCCTTCCCTTATCACATCTCTCAGCTGGGGGCCTTGTGCAAGCCCTTGAGCGGTTGAGGGAAGTGGCCTCCATCTGGGTGATCTGTGTTGGGCCAGCACAGGGATGAGTTCCTGTGGTCTCTCATGCCACACAGATAGATTCAGGCTGTGGTTATTCTGGGTTTTCTTGCTCTCTTGCCTGGCCTGCCCAGAGGAAGGTCACAGCCAGGCTGAACACTCGCCCTTAGCCTGGCGTGCTGTGTGCATCTCTGCCATGCTTGTGACTCGTGTGGCCACGATGGTACACACACATTTTTGGAGGTGACAACAGGGACAGAGTCCCATTGAGTTGGCCCAGCCCTCTGCTAATCCCTGCCCATCTTTCTGTCCCTGGGCTGAAGTGTGGCCTCTCCTGCTGGCTGTCCCCATTCAGCTAAGCCATGTGCCCATCTCCTCATTATAGGCACTCCAGGGAGAGGTGGGATTAAAGGATTATGATAATGTTCTTCAGGAACACTCAAGAAGATTAAGATGGCTTTAATAAACTGATAAGAGAGGAACACAGCTATGTTTCTGAAACCCTAATTTAGGTTCCAGGTTAACCTTTTCCCCTGGTCTCCTCTCACTGGAGTAACATCTCTTACTTTAGCACTGCTCCATGGTTAAGCCTCTTCCTTCAGTTTTCCTTCTGACCCATCTGAGCAGAAGCAGAAAGACATCCTTGCTCCTTCTCTGGTCTTCCCAGGTACGGGGACATTACAGCTTGTTCTTCTCAGAGACCATCTCATACACAGCCTGGAAAGTGAAGGTCTCAAAGCCTCTTGCTGGTATCTGGGGCTGAACTCATCACCCTCAGTCCGGCTTCAAAATGTCCTGTGGTTGCTGTCAGAGAAGTTGCTTGTCTGCCTTTGACCTGGCTGAACTTACATGGAGAAGTCCCCATGTCTTGGTTCTAACGCTAAGGTTACAACTCCCTGTGACCACACTGAGCTGACCAACTTCATCCCCTGTAAAGGAAAGAGGGGCAGAATGGACTAGCCTTGCCCTGCCTTCCCCCAGATCTTTCGGGTGGAGCTGGAAGTGGGACCTGTTTGATGTGTCACATGTGTCTGCAGAGGCTTATCCGGTTATTCTGCAGGAGGGGAGTTATTAGCTGACTTGGGAAACCTCATCTGGCTTCTCCAGTCTCTTCCACCCAAGTTTCCAGTCATCTGCCAAACTTTGTGAAGGCCTCTTGGGCCTAGGTTTCTCTTAGAGTGATAAGGTCATCGGGATCTGTTTATCTTTCCTAGACCCCTCTGTGTTTGACACCCCAAAAGTTAACCCCTTGCTCACTATCTGGAGATTGGACTCCATGTTATATCCAGAGCTCTGCAATGTTGGATCACTCCTTCCTCCCACTTCACTCATCCCTCTGCCAAAGTATTATTCTAGGGTTGTTTTTTTTTTTTGTCTGTCAACTCTTTCTACTCCTTTTTTCTTTCTTCGATGTAATTGGAAGAGCCAAAAAACATTCACAGCCTGGTGTCCTGATGGGTAAGGGAGGCAGAAAGTGATTTGGGGAGTGGGGTGTGAAAGGAAGACAAAGGGGAAAAGCTGGCTAATTTGCATCCTTTCTGAGTGCCCTGGCTCTATAGCCAAGGGACAGCAGGGGGGCTTCTGGCAAGGCGGTAGCAACGTAATGAGGTGTGTCATATCCCAGCAGGAGCCAGCCTCGCTCCCCCTCAGACCCCCTAATTAGAACTGTTTCAATTTTTAAGCCCCCTGAGGAGAGCTGGGGGGAGCGGGGTCCTGCGGCGGGGGGACCGCCCGGCGCCCGCCGAGGGGCTGCTCTAATTGGAGCGGCTGCCGAGCGCTCCGTGGGGCCGGGCACGGCCGTGCCAGAGTGCCAAGGGGCTGCCAAAATGCTTTGTGCCAGGAGGGGCTGTCACTATCGCAGCTTTTAGGGGATTTTTTTTTTTTTTTTTTTTTTTCCCCTCCTGTAATTTGTATTAACACATTGGCAGAGGCAGCAGGGGTGTGATACGAGGGCAGGAAAGTATTGCACATCGTAATGTGGCCTCCTATTGTGAGCTTGGATCCTAAGGCTGAAGCCTGGGATATCTGCTCCTGCTTTGGGAGGCAGGTCTGGTAGCCCAGGGAAGTTTGGGCTGTTAGTGCTGGAGTCACAAGCCAGTGCAAATGCTGGAACCCCCATCCTCACATTCTGTGGCTTTCCATTCTTTTCCTACAAGCTGTGGCCTAGAGGCAGTGTCCTTCAGGTTTGGTGGCTGCTAACAGAGGTCCCTTTCGTGCCACCCAGTAGCATGTCTGACTCGAGCATCTTTTTTGTATCTGGAGCTACCATTGCAGTAGGTGCCTGCAGGTGTAAGAGCTTACGGGAAATGCTGGCATACTCAGATCAGTGTGACTCGTAAGCCTCCTCTGCTCCGTGGACCAAATCCTGATCCTGCAGAGGTCAATGAAAATCTCTACGCTGGCCTTTTCAGGCACGTTATTCATAGTCCTCCTAATTCAGATGCATTAAAGCTTCCATGAAGCAGCTTGTGGGTTCTCACTAAAACACCGTCTGGCAGGAACAAGAGGAGCCTGGTAGTAGCCCAGGCTTATTTTCTGAATGACTGCAGTGGCATTAAAATCTAATGCCATTAAAACATACTTGCAGTGACGTGTTCCATTAAAACTTAAGAGGACACCCTGAGCTGAATGCTCCTTAGCCTGCCTGCTGCTCTTGCAGACCTCGTGGGCTGAACATGGAGGAATCTTGTTCTTCACCTCAGAGAACACCAGGCTCGACCTGCCTCAGCTCCTAAGGTGGAAACACAGGGTATTTGTATACCGGGTACTCCTATATATGAACCCCCTTTCTAATGCTGTGCAAATTAGATGCTGAAAAGCAGAAGGCTTTCCAGGGCCATCTCAGTCCAAGTACAGCTTCCCAGCACCTCTGCCCTGATGCCTGGCCTCTTTCTTGAAGACAGGACTAAAGGTCAACTTTATTTCTTGTCTTCTCTTGACTTGCCAGGAGGCAGGCTGGCAAAGATAGCCATGAGCAGGCTCTGATAAACAGGCAGGTGAAATGCAGTGTGAACTGATGAACATGAGTGAGCAAACCTGATTTGGTGGTGTGTGTGATGGGCCCCAAACTAGCTTTTACTGTGCAGCAGCAGAACCATAGAGCTGAGCTAAGCTGCTTCTGTGAAACCATTAGCTCTGGGCTTGGCAGAGGTCAGAAAAAGCAAATTGAGTGTGAGGAGCTGTTGGGCTGGGAACAGGGAAGGGAGGTGACATCTTGCCCTGTGCAGGTCCCTGATGTGCCTGGCTCTCAAACATGGCACATCGGGGCTGGCCAGTGTGGCAAAAGGTGTCTGTCTGTGTAACTGGCTGCTCTGTAGATGCTTTGACCTGAAAAGCGCCTTAAAATAGGTCTAAATGTGGTAAGAACTGTGGAGAAGATTAGGGAACAGGCGCATGTGGTCTTTTCTGGTGCAACTAGTAAGGATCGCCTGGAGAAGCCATCAGCTGGCAGATCTGGAGCAAACTAGGGGAAGGACTTCTTCAATATACCTGGCAAGCCATTCTACTCCCTGCCACCGGCCACTGTGCCTGTCAAATTAAAAGCTGACATGGCTTCAAAAAGCAATTAGACAAATCCATGGAAGTTCCGCTGAGGGCTATTAAATACAAAGAGAAAACCTCTGGCTTGGGCAGCTCTGGAGCCACACATGGCAGCAGGCTGGGAGAACACACCTCACAAGTGTGACTTGTTGCACTCTTTGGTTCTCCTGAAGACATCCAGATGTCATCCTGCCCAGCTGATGGGTTGTCGTCTCCTTTTTTGTCTTTCCAGGTTCAGCACAATGAGTTGGCACTCCGGGCGTTAGCAGCGTGAGGAGAATAGGACAGGTGCTGCCCTGCTCACCCCTCACCCCTCGCTCATTCCCTTTGGGGAGACGGGTGCTGGCATCCCTGCCCTGCCCTTCCGCCCCTTGCTCCCCACTGGCCATAGAGGGGACCGGCCCGTTATGGCAGGGGACAGGCTCCCACGCAAGGTGATGGACCCCAAGAAGCTGGCCAGCCTCCTGAGGAACGGAGCGGAGGGCACCCTGGTCATCGACAGCCGCTCCTTCGTGGAGTACAACTCCTGGCACGTCCTCAGCTCCGTCAACATCTGCTGCTCCAAGCTCGTCAAGAGAAGGCTCCAGCAGGACAAAGTCTCCATCACGGAGCTCATCCAGCCTGCCTCCAAGATGAAGGTAAGGGATCTGACCCTCACCTTCCCTCGCGGGTGCTCACACCCTCTCCTCTTGTGGGATGCAGACCGGCTTAAGGGATAGGAATGCACGGATCCTTCCCCTCCATCCCTTGACCCCAGTATCTGCCAGCATCTCTTGGACACCCTTTGCAGAACTGAAGTGTGAGCTCATTTGGCCTCAGGGCTGTCCTCGGGGACGTGTTCATTGCCCCCACCCCACTGACGCGGCTCCCTGCTTCAGGAGCCCTCCCCAAGCAAGTCTAACAGGTCTATCAGCCTTGGGACTTGTCTTACGGCTGCAAACAACCCCCCAAAGCCTTCCTGGAGCTGTAAACTTAATCCCCTGCTAAAAACTCTTCCCCTCCCCTCTGTCATCTCTAACTCCATTCAGGGACATGTAATCCTCCTCCCCTGTGACGCCAGAAGCTCTTATCCGGTGTCACGGCATATTATCTCTCCCAGGCTTCTCTCTATCGCTCCCGGTTAAATAATGGAGGTGGCTGCGAGCCACGGAGCTGGGCTGGAGCCGCGGCCGGCTGTCCCTGCAGAGCCGTGGGCCGGG